GACAGGTCACTTCAGAGGGCCAGGCTCCCCGGAGAAGAACACCGGGAAATGTGGGGGAGAGAGACCCCGGGGCAGGACCCAGTGCTGGTCAGGCAGAGGTAGGGGGACAGCAGAAGGGAGGGGGAGGCAGGGAGCAAAGCGGAGTCCGGATGGCTGGAGAGAGGCAGGCGGGGGATGGGCAGGGGTGGGGAGGCGGAGACGAGGGAGGCGAGGGGGGGGGGGGGATGGGCGGGGGCAGGGCAGGGGCCACGGGCGGTCAGGGTTCTACTTCAACCATAGGAGCCATGGAAGGCTGTAGGCAGGAAAGGAGCCTGGCCCGATACGGGGCTGGGGTGGCTGGGGCAGGGTGCCCGGGAGGCAGAGACAGAGGGGCAGGACAGGGACAGGGGACGTGAGGGGCAGACCGTGTGCCCCACGAGCTCGAGGGGCTGGGGAGACCGCCTCACTGTCCATTCCCCCCGACACCGGCAGGACCCCCAGCCGGCCCAGGCCCCAGGCTGGCAGGGTGGGCGTGAGCCCAGGTTGCTCATTCGGAGTTGGGGAGTGGCCCAGCAGAACCCCCCCCTTCTTACTGGGGCCGTGGTCTGACCCGGTGCACGCGGCCGCTCCCCTTCAGAATCTGGCCCACAGGGTCTCAGGCCCGGAGGGCTTGTGGGTTCCACTTACCTGGGGCCCCTTATTTCCTGAGGGACCTCAGAAAGCCCCATCCTCCCTGGGCAGGCCCCCAGCAAGGCTAGGGGATGGGCCCCGGCCGTGATCTGAGCCCTTGTGTGTCCGGGGGCAAAGCTGGCGTCCACTGCCCGGACCTCCTCGGCCATCCCGACTCTGCTCGCGGTCCTGGGGCGCCCTCTGGTGGCTGATGGGTCAGACTGGAGAGGCCTCGGTGGAGGGGGGGGTGGGGGCAGAGGGCAGGGCCTGGATGCTGTCCCCCACCCGTCCCCCAGCTCAGGGAATGAGTCATCCCTGGGAGGCGGTTTGGGGAGGGGGGTCCTGGGGGTCTCTTTGGGGAAGGGGCCTACAGAAGTGTCGTCCAGGCTCTGTTCTCAGGTGTGACCCACAAACTCTCAGAAGCCGGGCTTCTCAGGTTCCCATTTTTCAGAGAAACAGAGGCCCAGAGCGGATGGGGAGCCTGACAGATACGCAGGGTGCGAGCCCAGGAGGGGAGGGGCAGTCCCCGGCCGCCAGTCCCCCACGATACGGCTGGGCTGCGCACCCTGGGGTCAGCCACCCCCCTTGTTGGACAGAGAGACCCAGGTGCGTCCGGTGTGACACAGACAGGACTTGCCCCAGGCCCCAGGCCGCCCCGGGGGCATAGCCCGTGGGGGGCGTGACCGCAAGCAAGGTGGCCTGGCAGCGACCCCCACGTGGGGCCCCCTGTAGCTGTGCCCGAGGTCAGGCCGGGAAAGGCTGGCCCTCAGTGCCGGGGCCGGGGGGTGGGCCTTTGGCCGCGGCAGGCGTGTGGGTCCGCTGTGCAGAGATCAAGTGGTGCCCGTGCCGGGCACGGCATTGGCTGCCCGGGTGCCAGGCGGAAGAGGAGGAGCAGAGAGCTGGCGGGCGGGCGCCCCGATGGGTGGCCTGCACTCTGCACCTTGGCCGGCAGCCGCATGCCAGGGCGCCGGGGAGAAGGCAGGCAGGTGGGTGCCCAGGCTGCCAGCCTCCAGGTGGGACGGGGTGGGGGCCCCGGCCACATCCCTCACTCTGGTCCCCGTCCCCTGGTCTGCAGCCTGGAGAGGATTCTGCCTTCCCGGGCGGTGGAGGACAGCCTCTCTGTCTGAGGCAGGGGGGTGGGAAGGGGGTGCCCGAAAGCCGGTGCTTGGGGCGGGTCCGGGCTGGCGGGTGGCCCCGAGGCCCCGGGCCCTGGAGTTTGGGGCAGCGTCTGCCCAAGCAGTCGGGAGAGGAGGCAGGGGCTCCCAGCGGCGCCTGTCTGGGCGGGGAGGCTCACCCACGCTGCCCTCCCCCGAGCCACCGCCTCCACGCTTGGCCTCACACGGGGGGCCGGAGGGGCCCAGCCCCGACCCCCGGGCCGCTTGGCCGGGGGGGGGGGGGGGCGGTCTGTCTGGCGTCTTCTCTTTGCTGGTTCTCCCTGCGACTCGTGGAGGAGGGGTTGGGCCCAGAGGGTCAGAGGGGCTTGCCCGCGGTCACGCAGCTGGGGGGAGGGGCTGGGCTGGGACCCCTGGGGCCTGGGTACCAGGCTGCGTCCACGCTGGGGCCGTTTTCCTGATGGCCTCTGGGAAGGGGTGGCCCTTTGCCCCCCAAGCGAGAGCCCCCAGGTCCCTTGCTGCCAGGGTTGGAGATTTTGCCTCCGTTTCCCCAACAAGGCGTGGGGTGAGATTCCGACCAGGGGTGGTCCATACAGGAACCCCCTCCAGCTTCCCCGAACCCCCACACCCCTCTGGAAACAAGGCAGCTGCTCATGCAAATCTGGCCTCTTTGCATGGCCTTCCCTCTTGGAGGCCCGTTTGCCTGGAGCCCGGCACGGCCCTCGGGCTGGGGTGCGGGGTGCGGGGCGGTGGGTGTGGTCACGCGAGGCAAGGCTGGCGTCCCACACTCCTGCTCAGGACCGCCTGTCCCATCGGGAGGACAGAGGGCCCGGGGAGGGAGGGAGGAGGAGCTCCAGACGCTGCCTGCTGCCGTCCCCACCGGGTCCCCTCCCTGGGACTGCAAGCCTGAGGCTCACGGGGTTTGAGCACACCCAAGTTGTCCAGGCCCCACGCCCCCAAACGCTCACACACCCTGGGCTGTGTGCGTCCTGCTTACAGGGCACACGTCCAGATGCGGCCAGAGGGGACCCTACCGGGCGGCCGGCACCCCAGGCCCCTGGTGGGAGGGAGGTCTGTGCCCAGACGGCAGCCCCGAGGTCCCTGTCCTGCCCCCACCCTCCCAGCGAGGCACACACACTCTGCACCTCGACACCTGCACTTGGGGGTTGAGGAACGTCCCCCGGAAACCCAGAACGTGACTCATCTGGAAATCGTGTCTTTGCAGGTGTAATTAGTGAAGGTGAGGTCACAGGGGGTAAGGTGGGCCCCTATCCAGTGACTGGTGTCCCTGCGAGACGAGGGACATTTGGACGCAGAGACACAGGACAGAGGCTGAGGCTGGAGGGACGTGGCCACAGCCCAGGGACACCTTGGAGCCCCCAGGAGCCGGAGCGGGGGGGGGGGGGGACCCTCCCTAAAGCCTCGGGGGAGCGCAGCCCTGCCACACTTCAGTTTGGCCCTCGGGCTCCTGAGCAGGGGGCACGCAGATCTAAGGGGCAGCTCTAAGCCACCAGGTCTGTTGTACTTCGTCACAGCTGCCCCGGTAATACCCGCACACGGCCGGGCCCTGTCCCCAGACGCCAGCCTCCTATTAAAAGTCCATAATCCCCAGCTTGGAAAGGCCACATTCAAATCCAGCCCGGGTTCCTGCTCTGGGGGGTGGAAGTCAGGAGGATTTGCATCCCACCCGCCCCCAGGACACCGGCCCTGCCCAGACACAGGGCGGCCCCGGCCTGGGGTCTGGCTCCAGCAAGGCTCGCCCGGCTCTGCGGGCCTCCGTGTCCACAGCGGCCGGAACAGAGGAGCTCACGGTGTGCATCTCCCAGATCGGGGCGTCAGGGGCCCGCATGCCCTCTGAAGCGTCGAGAGGGGGCCCTGCCTCGCTTCTTCCAGCATCTGGGGCTCCGGGTATTCCTGGGCTTGTGACCTCATCGCTCCAGCCTCTGCCTGCGTTCGCTGGGCTCCTCCCTTTCTCTTATGAGGACACCAGTCACCGGGTCAGGGGCCACCTTAATGTCCTCTCTTAACGTGACCACGTTTGCAAAGACCTCATTTGCCCAGAGGGCCCCATTCATGGGGGCCGGGAGTTAGGACTTGGGCCTGGGTTTCTGGGGCACACGGCGGGGGTGGGGGAGGGTATGAGGCTGTAGGTCCCTGTCAAGCCTGCGGGGCCGTGACCGCCACCGCTGCCCCTTCCTCTGTATGCCGGTGGCCCCTCTCCAAGACACAAAGGGTGGCCTGGCCGGGGAGCTGCCTTTTAGCAAGGGACGCCTCCCGGGGATAGAGGGCCGGTGGGGCCACCGTGGACAGGCTGGGGAACTGACTCAGCGGCAGGGGGTCTGCCGACGCCCCTATTTGGACAGGTGGCCGTGGACCCGAGGGTGGGGGAGACTGGCCAGGGCGGCTCACCTGTCCTGGAACCCAGGGCCCTTGGGCAGGGGCGGAGAAAACCAGGGAGATGTGGGCTGGGGGTGGGGGAGACACTGTGTGTGCCGGCAGTCAGGCAGGCCGTTGGGACCCAGCTCCTGGTCACATGGGCCAGTCCTGGGCCCCCAGCCTTCAGTCCCTGCCGAGTGGGGTGGAGCTGCTGGCCGCAGGGACATGGTCCGGATGCAGCGAGGGGCGCCTGGCCTGGGGGCGGGCCAGGAACGGGGAGGGGGAAGAGCTTGGGGCAGGGCCTTCCCCGCCCGGCCTCCTGGCAAGGAGAGGTGGTCCGTCACTCCCCCCACGCCATCTTCCCCCGGCCCCCCTCTCCCGGGGCCCCTGCACCTGAGCCGTGTGCACCAGCCTGACCCTCTCACCCGCATCCCCCCTCTGCCCAGGCACACCAGGGTGTCCATCCCCGTCCGGGGGCCAACGGGGGCGCAGGGGACAGGCTTCTTGTCCAGAAGCCCAAGAGACTTTTGGGGTTTCTAGGACACCCCCCACCAAAGCCTGTGCAGAAGTGCTGACGGGAGAGGCCGGCCTGAGGCGCCCCGGGGTGGGGGGTGAGTAGTAGGGCCCGGAGCCGGGTGAAGGGGCTAAGATGCACCCCCACCCCCCACCCCACTGGGAAGGGGGCGCGTGGGAGGCTCCAGTAGCTGAAGCCGGGTTGCGAGGGGGCCTTGTGGACATCGTGGCGCGGCCCGGCCACTGGCAGGGGGGGAGGGGGGGTGGCCTCCCCAGTGAGGCCGCCGCTGGCGTCCTGCAGGGAGGGGGACAGGGTTTGCCTCTCACGCCCTCGGAGGTCGGCTCTGTCCCTGCAGAGAGGTCCTCATGTGGGGTGCCGGGAGTCCCTGCCGGGGAAGCCCCAGGGCTGCCGGACGTGGGTGGGCGCGGGACCTGTGCCGGGGCGAGATCGAATTCGGAGGGTCTGGGAAGAAGCGAGGCAAGGTAAGGGGCCGCCCCCCCCTCGCCCCCCCTGTGCTAAGGCTCACCCCCCACCCCCCACGCTGAGCTCCCAGTCTCTCCCCAAACACTGAGCGCTGGGCGCCTGCTGCCCTCCAGAGCCTGGCCGATGTCAGAGCCTCCAGGACCCGACTCCAGCCCTCTGGCCCCCCGCCTCCCACCCCCATGCACAGCACGTCCAGGGCCCCTCCTCTGCGCGCCCCGCCCCACCCCGCCCCACCACGGAGAGGGAAGGGAGGCCTAGGCAGGAGTCAGGTGAAGGCCGGACCCACCTGCGCCCTGGCCTCCTGCTGCCACCCTGCATCTAAACGGGGTCGGCCTCTCTCCTGATGCTGGTTGCTCCCCACCTCCTTGTGACCCCCATGCCAGCGCCCCATACCCAGTTTCTCTGGTGCCCCCATGCCCAGCAGCCCATACCCAGTTCCCCTGGTGCCCCCATGCCCAGCGCCCCTGGTGCCCCCATACCCAGCACCCCCATGCCCAGCGCCACAGGTGCCTCCATGCCCAGCGCCCCTATGCCCAGTGCCCCATACCCAGTGCCCCTGGTGCCCCCTAACCCAGCACCCCCGTACCCAACACTCCATACCCAGTGCCCCTGGTGCCCCCATGCCCAGTGGCCCTGGTGCCCTCATGCCCAGTGCCCCTGGTGCCCCCATGCCCAAAGCCCCATCCCCAGTGCCCCTAGTGCCTCCATACCCAGCGCCCCCATGCCCAGTGCCCCATACCCAGTGCCCCTGGTGTCCCCAAACCCTGTGCCCAGTGCCCCCATGCCCAGCACACCATACCCAGTGTCCCTGGTGCCCCCATGCCCAGTGCCCCTGGTGCCCTCATGCCCAGTGCCCCTGGTGCCCCCATGTCCAATGCCCCATCCCCAGTGCCCCTGGTGCCTCCATACCCAGCGCCCCCATGCCTAGTGCCCCATCCCCAGTGCCCCTGGTGCCCCCATGCCCAGCACCCCATACCCAGTGCCCCTGACGCCCCCATACCCAGCACCCCATACCCAGTGCCCCTGGTGCCCCCAAACCCTGTGCCCCCATACCCAGTGCCCCTGGCGCCCCCATACCCAGCACCCCCATGCCCACCCCCACACACACGCCCTGAGGCTGCAGGCCACCCTGCCCTGCAGTTCGTGAAGGTTCCGAGCGGCGTGGCCCCCTCCGTGCTCTTTGACCTCCTTCTGGCCGAGTGGCAGCTGCCAGTGCCCAACCTCGTGGTGTCCCTGGCGGGCGAGGAGCGGCCGTTCGCCGTGAGGTCCTGGCTGCGGGACGTCCTGCGCAAGGGGCTGGTGAAGGCGGCTCAGAGCACAGGTGAGGCCCCGCCAGGGCCCGACGGCCGGCACAGTCCGGAGCCCGTGCCCCGGCCACACAGCCCCCAGACCCTGCCCGGTGCCTCCCTCCCTGCAGCCTGCAGCGGGAGCAGCTTGGGGGATGCAGCAGAGGGGGGAGCCGGGGTCCCCCCTCCCTGGGAGGCGCAGCCCACCCTGCGGGCCTCGGCAAGACGGCCCCCCCTGCACCCGCGCCCGAGGGCGGGCCCCCATCGCACCCTCCGCCTGCCTCAGGGGAGCCGCCTGCTGGACGGTCGTGGGGTCCAAACCCAGTTACTGGGCTAATTTATGTTCAGGCCCGCCGAGCCTGCAGAAAAGCCGGCGGAAGGATATGGGGTTTCTGGCCGCCTCACTGCGAGGTGACCGCTGTGCAGCAGAGGCTGCACACCCGACTAGGCCAGGGCCTCGTGATTCAGAACAACCTTCCCAGGCTCGGGTCGGGCCGACACCTGCAGGCGG